CACAGTATAAACATGCCAATAAGAGACTGATCAATTGTACTCCTAAACAACAATAAGAGAAGATTCAAACAAACAATACTAAGTGCATTAAAAATTCACCCTATTGTACAATTGAGTGGCTATCAGGACTCAGTAGCTGGTTGGACAACGCGATGGCGTTTGAAGCGAATGGTACTGGGTTCGAGTACCAGAATGAACATCAATTCCGAGATGCAGGTACATCTATTTGACGAGTTCCAAATAGAACAAAATGCGCGTCCTGGATTCCACTGCTAGCCACTATCCATATTTATTTAAACAATGATTGTTTTAATGAGTGAAAAATCAGAATACAATTGTTTTGATGTAAAATATCTCAACTGTAATGAACAAGAAAACAATTACGGACAACCGAAATTATTACCATGCAAAGTTACATAGTGTATTTCATAAAATCTGACAATCATACAGTAAATACTTCATTAGCAAAATGTCCATCAATTGTCTCAAACTTTGTAATTCCTTTATTTCTACACCAATCTCTTTATAACCATTCTCTTCTATTAGATATTTTCAACCTTCTTCTGCCAGGTATTTCACTTCCGATTAGTATCACATTCTACTTATCAACTACTTATCAACATAAGTAGTACATATCACACAAATGCTTTGATTCAGTGAAATACTTTTTTCGAAGAAAAGGAAATGAATAGGTGTTTCAAGAAAATGGTCACAAAACAACCCGTAAAATAGTAAAAAAGTCATTTAGTGTTAAGAGAAAAGAGAAGAGTACAAAACGGTAATCAAATTATGACATATAAAAAAGTTATTGCGTGTTTATTTAATGTGCTCATAGCAACACTCTTGCGATTAATTTCGATTATGGTTAACTTTTATCGAGATATTTTATTAAATTATTTGATAGACAATCTTATTCGGTTAGTAACAATTTGTTTATTTCTTTGTGTTTTTATAATCACTAACATGTCCGTATAAATGTGTATAGTTGATCACATGACAGCCTACACACATATCTCTGTCTAGTTTAAATGTTGACTGCTTGAATATAGCTCGATGAATCGTTTTCTTTCCCATGTATATAAGTGCTCGAATCTTACTAATTGACTTTGCTTTGTCTAGCTGCGCCTTGATTCGATTTGACTATAAATTCACCTATGTATTCTCTAGCACACTCACATTAGCCTCTCTGATTGAAATTCGTTCGATGTGCCAATAACTTTGTTTTCTGTTCTATCTGCTAATACACTGTAGTCGTCGCTTTTTATTGATTTTTGAATTCAAGCACCGTTGGTTATTTATATGCTAACGTTTAACAAGGTGATTGATTAACGAAGCTAAGTCATGAACAGCTGAATCAAAATGGTTGCTTTAATTCAAATTTCTTCGGTTTAAAAGAACAATTCGACACTGTATTTAAGCGAACCTTGTGCAATCTTTACCGACGTTATAGAGTACCTGAGAAGATCGTTAACACCATACAGAATTATTATGAGGGTAGTTTATAGATGCATTTTAACCGAGAACTGGTGTCAAACAAGGTTGTTTACACTTGCCTTTTCTCTTTAATCTGATTGTTGACTGGATTATAAAGACCTCAACATCTGATAGAAAGCACGGAATGCAATAGATAGCTTGGATACAACTAGATGGTTTGGACTTTGCAGACAACCTATCTCTTCTATCCTATACACCTGTGCAAATGCTAGTGAAGACAGACGATACAGCAGAAGATTCTGCATCAGTAGGCCTCAATATATACAACGGCAAAAGAAGATCTTTAAATGGAACACAAAAAGCGACGACCAAACCACACTGGATGGAGAAGTTCTGGAAAAGTTGGAAAGTTTTACGTACCTGGGGAGCACTAGTGATTAATAAAGGGGATCGGATGCAGATGTAAAGCCGAAGATTGACAACGTAAGGGCAGCATTCTCACAATTGGAGAACATCATGGAGTAAAAACAACAGTCTGTCAGTCTACGTCAAAGTCAGAATCCTCAATACAAACGTCGAGACAGTTCTATTACATGGAGATGAAACTTTGAGAATTACGACAACTATCGTGAAAAAAGTATATGTATAAACCATTGTTTACTGAAGATACTCAATACCCACTGTCCAGAGACCGTCAGCACCACCTACTGCTGGAGAAAACAAAACAGATTCCGTCTGAACAGGATATTAGAAAACGTCGTCGGAGGCGTAAATGCTACACATTGAGGAAATCCTCAAAATGAATCGCAAAGCAAGATCTTAATCAAACTCCTCAAAGTGAAAGAAAAAGAAGTAAATCACATTACATAATCCCTTTGGAATTCAATGCAAGCATCAGAAGAATGAATAACACTTGGAAACAGTTAGATAAGAAAGTCTAGAGTAGAGTAGGTTGGAGAATCTTAGTCGGCGATTTATACTTTACGAGTAGTAACAGTGATAAAAACAAATCTGAAGCTAAATGGTTGACCATCGGACTATTCACCAATTTACTTGACAGTAGTATTACATTAGTTAATTGATTGTATAAAGTTGCTAAGATTGATTTGATAGACAAGTGATAATCAATGAACATATTTAAACTATTAAATTCGAATAAAATTCGGAAAAATTCTATTTTCGTCAATACTATTTAACTACATTTATTTGTAATGATTTTCATTATTCCATTGCCAATGTTCTCTCGACCTTTCTTTTTCTCTTGGTGTTCGACTGGATCATGAAGACGTCAAAATTTGAGGAGGAAGCACGGTATACAATGGAAAGGCAGGATGCAGCTGGACGATTTAGACTTCGCAGATGATCTGACCCTTCTATCACACACGCAACAACAAATGCAGGAGAAGACGTCCAATGTAGCAGTAGCCTCAGCAGTGGAAGGTCTCAACATACACAAGGAGAAAAGCAAGACTCTGATACAACACAACATGAACCGATCAAATTACACTTGACAGAGAAGCTTTGGAGGATGTGGAAACCTTTACATATCTGGGCAGCATCATTGATAAACACTGTGGATCTGATGCAGATGTGAAAACGCGGATCGACAAAGCAACAGCAGCATATTTACAGCTGAAAAACATCTGGAACTCAAAACAATTGTCAATCAACACCAAGATCAGAATTTTCAATACAAATGTCAAGACAGTTCTACTGTATGGGGCGGAGACGTGGAGAACTACGAAAGCCATCATCCAGAAGATACAAGTGTTTATTAAAAGTTGTCTACGCAAAATACTTCGGTTCCGTTGTAGTATCGGGTGTTATGTTAAGCCCATGTACTTTATTCTAGCTACTGGCCAAGCCAATTCACCTATATATTATGAGTCATATTTTGATCTTGTTAATTATTCTCTTATTAACCTTGACTACTTTTTATATGAGCGTATATGTGTATCCTACGTATCTTATTCATCATATGCCTGTTATTCATTTTTGCCTGATTATAAATATTTAGTAATGCTTGCTCATAGCGAGTTGGCTTCCCAGCCATCTCCACTATGCATCATCTTTGCTTCGCTCGCTTACACTTGCTCGTGTGCCCACAGCTTTCTGGTCTGTGTCATTCATCAATAAAAATGTAGTTGCCGCTTCCTTTTGCCTACTGAATTTACACACCGTTAAGATTGGTATAATGACGGTTATCGAAGTGAACCATTATTGAAACATGGCATTACATCGTTGGTCAGACACTATCAGCAACATTCGACTGTGGAAGAGAACAAACCAGAATCCAGAGGAGGGATAAATCAGGAAGAAGCACTGGAAGTCGATAGGGCACACATTGAGGAAGTCATCCAACTGCGTCACAAGCAAGCCTTCACTTGGAATCCTGAAGGTCAAAGGAGAAGAGAAAGATTACGCGGAGAAACGGAGACAGAAATGAGAAAAATGAACAGAAATTGAATAGAATCGAAAAGGAAGGCTCAGAACATACTGTGTTGGAAAATGCTGGTTGACGACCTATGCTCCATTGGGAGTAACAGGCGTAAGTAAGTGAGCAAGTAATTGTAATTGTTAAAAACTGTAATCAGTCAGTTTCTATGATCATATGTAAATCCTGATCAGAAAGACTTAACATTACTATGATAAGCTTTTAGTAAACTTGAAAAACTTTTTTTTTTGGTTAGCGTTATTTTAGCAAGTTGGTTTTTCTACAGGATGGGGTCGCTAACCCCATGCCCAACCCTCCTCCTTTACCCGGGATTGGGACCTTCAGTAACTCTAGAATAGCTACAAGCAGAGTTTTGAAAAACTATTAGATGTGAAATAGAAATTATACCTGTTTAATGATTAAATGAACTCAATTAGTTTAGGGAACAATATGTTGACATATAGTGAAAACGTCTTAGCAATTAAATGAATACCTAATCTATAATACAATTATATTCATCTGAGTTATCAAAAATATCAATGATGATATCTATTTTAGTTTTAAATTCACATAGTTTTACTTGTTTGAATCTTCCAATCAGGTACTGAGTCTTGATAGCCACTTGCTTGTGCAATCGGGTGAAGTTTAAATTCACCTTGTATTACTTGTTTGAATCTTCCCATTGATGTTTTTAAGACTGCAACTAGTCAGTCTCTAATTGGCATATGTGCATACGGTGAACATCAACTGTGAGATGCAGGTACATCCGGTTGGCGAGTCCCAAATAGGACGAAACGCGCGTCAAACTGGAATACCACTGCTAGTCACTATCCATCTTTGCTTACAATATTTTAGTTTTGTTTAAATCTGTTTATTAAAACTTTTGATTGTTCATACTTAATCCACCACTAAATTGTGATCTGCTTTATTATTATTATTATTATTATTATTTTCTTTGAATAATTAAAAAAAATAAGATTTCCACCAATCAGAGATTTTTTCTAAAAAAAAAATTAATTTTATTTTCTACTATTAACACGAAATAATCATTTGATTGGTTAAATAAATTTGGGCGGGGGGGGGGAGGGATATTTATGAGATTTTTATAAATGTCAACTATTGTTACTATACATTTATTTATTTATTACCTTATTGAACTGCATTCAACGAAAGGTTTTCAATATTAATAAGATAATCATCCATATTAACCATTATTCATAAAAGATGGTAAGTATTCATAAATATTTTCATAATATATAGAAGTCTAATTACTGTTTTTCATATGTATATGCAAGTATTCATCAAGATTAGAACGAATAGGTTAACAAAAATTGAACTCCGAGTATGAGAGAAGTCATTATATATGAAAAAGAAGTATATTTGAAATAGTCTCAACGATTTGAAATTTAAATAATTCCAACATTTCGTCCCTTTAACGCGTCTGGACTTCTTCAGGAAAATTATTTCCATGATGAATGTATATTGTATAATTGAGATTATTATAAAAAGATTGAAATCCAGTTTGATTATTTGTAAAGAAATAATTTTACGCTTGATGGAGTTCGGTTCTCTGAGCTGAATAATTTAATCTAAATCATACAGATCAGAGAACAAAACTCCATCAAAACCATCCATCTGAGCTTAAAATCTTCTTCACTATCTCAAAATAATTCTACTTCATTATATACTTAGTTTATTAACATTGAAATTATTGATTGAAATTTGTGTGCTGAATGGCTTTTTTAAAACTATAATTTAATGTAAATAGTGATGGTTGGTGGCTAGCAATTAAATCTAGAATGTGCGTTTCATCATGTACAGAAATAGTCAACTAGATGTGTCTGTATCCCAAACTTTTCGTTCACTCTGAGACTCAAATCCAGTAACGTTCGCTCTAAGCACCATCAAGTTATCCATTTAACTATTGAATCTAGATATCGATTAGCTTGTACAATGTAGTAAATTTTATAAATCACTATTATATTGGTTGTTTAAATGTTCCTATTAATGCTTAGAACTGTAATTGATCAGTCTCATATTGACATCCATCTGGTGAATTCTCGATAGGATGAATCCTACATCCTACATTTTAGTGATAACCACTATCCATTTCTGCTTATTTTGATTATGATTCAAGACAATGTCGAGGCAATCGAAACAAGATGCACATATAATAATCAGAAACTGATCAGTTACAGTCCTAAAGATCAATGAAAACATCCAAATATCCAATACAAAAATAAATTATAATTAAAGTTATCTCTATGAGTTTGAAAATTTATTACTTTGATGTAGATTACATTGTAATTTTAAAATGAAATAGAGTTTACCAGTATGTTCAGACCATGTAATATCTAACTCTTTGTAGTTTGTAATTAATTCTACAATTAATCATCACTATGAAGTTGTAGGTACTACACGCCTGTAGCTCCTCTGGGGGCTACTGCCGGTCCCAAGCCCGGGTAAAGTAGGAGGGTTGGGCATGGGGTTAGCGACCCCATCCCATAGAAAACCAACTCGCTAAAAAAACGCTAACCAGAAAAAATGAAGTTGTAGGATTGTTAAGCTTTTTGATTAAGATTATAAATCGGTTGATGTTAGACCGCCATTGAAAATGTTGGAGCAAAGGATGACCATTTCATCCTAGTATGAGACTTCTTAGCAATGAGCATTCACGATCTCGCACTCGACATTCGAACCCTGCACCTTTGGTCCACATTATTGAACTTTTTAAAATAAAGCATCAAACGTTCATTAGTTTCTATTATAAAGTAATTTATTAGTCTCCAATTAACTAATTTTATACGATCTAAAATAGATCATTTATACTATTGCATTTTAGATAGTTTATTTGTAATCTGCCCTCAAATCTTATTTGATGTACTCGCAAATAAATTGAGCATAGGAATAGACTTTTATGAACAAAAAAAACAGTAATGTAATTATAATATTCCAAATAAGTAGAAAAATTAGATTTTTCAAAATTTTATAATTCAATGTAAGCTACTTCTTTTTATTCTCTGAAGAAGCGGCTTGAACTGAGTTACGAAACATCAGGAAAATCACATTTTTCTACTTATTCGATATAGTTTTTGAATTTTTTAAAAAAAAAACAAAAAATAGATAAAATCAAATCTAACTTAATTTAATAATAAAATTTTGTTTATAAGTAAAAATGGATACCGGTTAGCAGTGTGATAAAGGATACACGTTTTGTCTTATATGGGACTTATCAACTGGATTTATCTTTCATCTTAGAGTTGATCTTCACTTTGAGACTTGAATCCAGTATTCGTCACTTCAAACATTATTGCATTATCCACTTAACAAATAAGTCCTGATAGCCATTCGATTGTGTATTGTAGTGAAGTTTAAATTCAATTGGTATTGTTTATTTGAGTCTTCCCATTGTTAGTTAAAATTACAATTGATCAGTCTCTTATTGGCATATGTGCATCCTGTGCATATCGTTTCAATTTAGCCTTAATTCACAAGCATTCTAAGCTGAGATGTATAGTCGCTAGCAGTAAGAATTCAGGACGCTCGTTTCATCCTATTTAAGACTTGTAAGCTGGATGTACTTGCATCTCAAAATTGATGTTCACTCTGAGACTCCAACCCAGTATCTTTCGCTTTAGACGTGAAAATTCACTATCTAAGTGGATAACGTGATGGCGTTTGAGATGCAGATACATACAGATGACGAGTCTCAATTAGGACGAAACATGAGACCTGTATTCCACTACTAACCACTATCCATATTTGATATTATATTTATATTACACATAAGAATAATGATGAATTATTTTTTATCAACATTCGTGAAACAAAAGAAAGAAACATGAAATCAAATCTGAGTTAATCTAATAATAAAATTTTGTTTAGTTGTTATGATGGAAAAATTAATGGTCATTACGAATGATTGAATGGATAAATGAATGACTGAACAAAATGTATCGTGTTATTGTTTTTCCCTTATATATATTGAATGTTTATAAAAAAAAAGTATTCATCTTACAAAATCATATAGATGTTGTCTACAATAAACTAATGTTTAATGATCGGAAGGGGGTTTTCTTGTATATTATAGTTGAAATCATGAGTCAATTGAAGGTAGGCCACTATGGAAAATCTGGAAGCACTGTTCGACAGCCGTTTCTTTCTATTATGGGACTTCTCATCAGTACGCATCCATGATCCCGCCTCGCGAGACTCGAACCCGGAACTCATGATTTCAACTATGAAAATACTGAAATCTCCACAAAACGTTTTCTGATGTATAATCATATGCTCACTATTGACTGACTTCAAGAGATATTTCTTGGAGTTCTAGTGAGAAGCAGTGACCAATGGAGTTCAACCAAGTCTGTTGTGAGATGTCAACTCACTTAAGACAATGGTGAACAGTTGCTCAAATTCGTGGATTGGTTGAAGTTAGACAATAACACCATCGGGTGCCGATTCAGTGATCTAGTGGTTAGGCGCTCTCGCGCGAAACTGGTAAACCCTAGAATCGAATCTCACGAGTTGGGATCGTTGATGCGCACTACTGAGGAGTAGCACAATAGGACGAAACGGCCGTCCGGTACTTCCAGGTTTTCCATGGTGGTCTAGCTTCAATGGACTGATTATTTCAACTATGATTATATTTAATAAATACCATGTATATATTGGTAATTATACTTTATAGCTTGAATGATACATAATAAATAAATTCAATGAGCCTCAATGTATCTTAAGTTTCAATGATTAACTAAATAATTTCAAGGAATTATTATCCTTGTTGAATGATCTTAATTTCATTAAAAAAAGGTTTGTACCATTTTGATGTGTTAGTTATTAGTTATTTAAACACCATTAACATAGGTACGAATATATATGCACCACATAAACTATTCGATTTGTGTGAGGGCTGAAATACTACCATTTGTTTCCTAACGATTGACGAGCCGATATACACTATTAGTTTGAAATGACGATTTCTTAACTCCCCTATGTGAATCCTCTATATTCACTAAACCGGTTAAAAGCACTGGATGTTCGTTTTCTTTCCTCTTAGTTTCGTAAACAATAATTCCTGTCACAAGAAAGTAGTGAGTAGAACTTCCTTGACAATATCTGTAGACACATAGCCATGTTAGAACATTTCGAGAGCGAGAGCAAACTTTTTCTACTTTCGACTGTGTTAGGGCATTTGGGTGTTATGGTTATTCTAACATCCGAATACGAAACAGAAATAACTTTTTCATTCAAAACATTATGTACATATGTATTTCCCAAAAGTTCTGACGTTTCGTGACTCAGTTTAAGATACTTCATCAGAGAATAAATAACCAAATTAAAATTAGTCCAAGTTTAAATAGTACAGCGGAACAATAAGAATATTACGTGAGATCAATCAAAAAACAGGTTTGAATAAATCAATGTCATGTCATTTCAGCCAAGGTGATTCATAAACGACATGTATGTAAATTTGTGTGTGCACTGTTAAGGATGAAAATTGTTTGACTTTTATGATGAGGAAGTAAGGTAAGTGTGGTATGCATTGTAAATAATATCAGACTAGGTGGCCAGGATGAGTAGTCCAAGTTGGATGTGTGACAAGGTATTCCTTTCTATTGAGAGAAGTAGGATTAAGCATAATATATAGAAGGCTTCAGATACTCTCCTTTCATTGTAATTGGAAAAGCCTTTTTGTATTATTTTGATAATATTTAAAATCAATTTGGTGGACATTGAAATGGATATAAATTGCTATTGCCTATTTCATATGAAGTCTATCCAGTTCTTCAGGATTATTAAGTGGTTTCTTTATGTACCTAATATGTTCTTTAGGCGAGACTATAATTTATGGTCGACCTTTGAATGAATCTTGAGTAACCTTGAGAAATATTAGTTAATCAGTAAACAGTCAGCCTAGAGTAAAAGTATATTACAGAAAATTAAAGAATTAAAGTGAATACACTTCTTTTATAGGATCAAAAACTTGTCAAAGTTAGAAAAATGTTTGAAGGTTCCGAAATCGTAATGCATAAGATAGAGGAACTCATCCATATGGCTCCATAATACTCAGTCTCTGGAGCCATGATAAGGTCATAAAAACCCTCTTGGCCTCCACCATATAGCTTCATTGTTATTTGTGTATGCTCCGATTTTGTAAGTTTATCATTTTTATTATGGATATGTCCCTACAATACACATACCACTGAACAGCCGTAGCTTCAGTA